CCACAAACTTCACAATCGAATAATATAGGTACTTGTACTAGAAACTGATAAACAAATACACTATTTGAAAAACCTACCTACACATATATTTAACTACTACTACACATCTAAGCAACTTTATGTTTAAAATTAATTCCTAATAATTTAAACGAAAACATAAACAAAGCGATCGCACATCACATGAAAACAATATTTTATATTGGAAATGAATTGAAGTCATTACCAATAGTCAATTGAGTGTTTATTATAAAAAAATGTAGCTTAAAAATTAATGCAGCGTTTAATTTAAAAAAAAAACAAAGGTTAATTTAGTAAGTCAAATGGAATTGCATCATCGTCTTAAACCAATATTTCATACTAAAAAACATTCATTATCATTCATATAATTTGAAACGTTGTAAATGGCGCCATCTTGACGTTTCTATAACTTCCTTTTAACTTTTATAATAATAAAGTCAACTCCTCGTTTAAAATTTCTATAAACCGACAACGCGTAAAAATGTTAAGCTTTAATCAAAACACTTGAAACATACGCAGTGGCGTGCAGTCCATATAGGCGAAAAGGCATTGCCTACCTATAAATATCGTGAATATATAACATACATATAATGTACAAACGCGTTTATTAAAATTCAATAATATAATAAAAGTTTGTAAAAAAACGGCTAACATAAATACGCGCCTTTGTAAAGTAATGAATGCGCCCCGCACGCACCACGCATGCGCCACTATTCCTTAAATCTTGGTTGGCAGTAGTGACGTCACAAAAGAAATGTACCAAAAGTATGCACCGCGCATGCGTGAAGTTCACGACCATAGTCACGGTACAGAATAACCATTCATAATTATATTACGCGATTCCTGTTGATTGACAAAATGTTTGCAACTAAAAAATTAGAGGACCGTTCGTTCATCACTTGGAAAACGATCGTATTTTATTAAGAATTCTAAATACAATAAAACAACAACAAGTTATTGTATTTTTAAAAACAATTAAATCATAAAAGGATTTAAATTGATAAAATTTGTATGTATATCGTAAAGTACTGATGAATGGAGTACACCAGCGCCATCTATTGAATTTTTTGTTGAAACTTCTGAACTCGTTCGATATAATGCGAATGTATTTTTATAAATGCGTATTTAACAAATATTTTTCAAGTGTTTTAATTAAAGTTTAACATTTTTACGCGTTGTCGGTTTATAGAAATTTTAAACGAGGAGTTGACTTTATTATTATAAAAGTTAAAAGGAAGTTATTGATACGTCAAGATGGCGCCATTTACAACGTTTCAAATTATATGAATGAATGTTTTTTAGTATGAAATATTGGTTTAAGACGATGATGCAATTTCATTTGACTTACTAAATTAACGTTTGTTTTTTTGAAATTAAACGCTGCGTTACCTTAATTTTTAAGCTACATTTTTTTTATAATAAACACTCAATTGACTATTGGTAATGACTTCAATTCATTTCCAATGTTTTCGGCCATATTGTTTTCATGTGATGTGCGATCGCTTTGTTTATGTTTTCGTTTAAATTATTAGGAATTAGTTTTAAACATAAAGTTGCATAAATGTGTAGTAGTAGTTAAATATATGTGTAGGTTTTTCAAATAGTGTATTTGTTTCTCAGTTTCTAGTACAAGTACCTATATTATTCGATTGTGAAGTGTGTGTGAATAATAGGTAATTTTATGTGTTTGTTGAAAGTAAAAACAGTAAGATTTCGCAATGTCCTTTATCGGACTAGATTCAGGTAATGACCATAGGCAGAGGTGTACTCGAGTTACGAGAATTGACCCAAGTAAAAGGTAGGTAATGTAAATATGTACTATAATGGATCTTTTATTTGATTTTCTTGTTTATTGTTTGATAATTCTTAAAAATATCAACTTAGACTTCGGGTTGTACTGATTCACATATTAATTTATTATTAATATTTATGTAATGTAGTAATAACAAATGTACCGCATAGACTCGGCCGGCTCGGCCACAGCCGGCCGCGCTTGTTATTGTTTTGTTTGTTGACATAATGTAGGTACCTACGCTCTTAAATTCGTAATATATTATGATTTTGACCAGATTGATTAACCTTAACAATTCCATAATGAAATTTGGTTCATCAAATTTATGCTTCATTATTAAAATAAATAATAGATCTTTCATTATTTGTAAGTTTTGTTGGCTTATTCAATAGCTGATGAAGTACTTCACAAAAAATACGCGAGATGTCAGTGTATGTAATTTGGCGAAACAATACACCACAATATTCTTGAACGCACTTTTCAAAATATATTATGTACATGTACCTATCTTGTGTGAGCATGATTGTATGACCGGCGGGGGGGAGGGGTTTAATCATACGATATTTAGTTGCCTACCCTGTCTCGAAAACCTGTGCACGCCACTGGTGGGTGTCACAACAATATGATTAAGTGCAACACTGCTTATTCCTTCAGAGCTTAAAAAGTGTAAAGAGCTATGTATAATAGCTATAGTATGTAAACAAATAGATACTTACATCAGTACTAAGCAGCAATCCCATAGCCAGTCCGAACACGCAGCTTAAGAATGTGATAGTAGTCTCCCATACTTTGAGAGCTTCGGCATTGATCGCCATGATGCCAGTGATGACGCAGTGCCATATCGCCAGTTGTTGCGCGATGCCAAACATTATGATGATGAAGTAGAATATCACGGCCCATGCTGGAGATAGCTGGAAAAAATATTTGGAAACTGTTATAAGAGACATCCAGAACTAGGCTTATGCCAAATATAAATATATGGCCTTTAGCCAAACGCCACTTTAGCCCCCTATACTTGACTCTTTGACTTTAGCGCTTGTCTACAGAGAGAGTAGAAAACTAAATGTATGTGGATGACACTGACAAGTGTCAAAATTTACGTCAATCCCATATAATTTGGTTTTTTATTCTACATGTAGGCAAGCGCTAAGTGGCATTTGGCTGTAGCTGTAGCTGCAGGAAGGTGAAACGTTGCTGGTATCCTGACCTATTTGAAATTGCAGATACTTTAGGTAAAAATGAGGATGTTCAGAGGTCTAAAAATGTGTAAGCTTGAATTTTCTAAAGTAATAAGTTCTGCTATTTCGCAGCCCTATACAAAACGATCGATGTTTCTTTCACATTTCATTCATCGTCTCCCAAATGCCAGTTTAGTTCTATTACGCAAACCATTTATGTAAACGAATGAAAACAAAACAAAAACTTTGAAACACAGAACTATAATTTTGTTCTAACATAAAAAGGTGATGCAATTTATCAGATGTATCTCGCCCACATTAAGAATAAACTGTTGATTGTACACTCTGCATAACATAACGGAAATAATTATTAAGAAATATTAAATAGAATAGTATAATAGTAAGATGGGTGTTATCGAAAGTGGCAATCTTCCAGGGAACTTATTTTTTTTTACATTAATTAGTATTTGTGCAATGTTATAAGCAGACTCTAAGGTTATAATTAAGTTAAAGTTATCATGTATTCATTTTGTTTTAACTTCACGGATTATCAGATGAAAGTAACTAGCTAGTCTAACTAAACTTAGGCATAATACTAAGTATCTTACTTTTTCAAAATCAGTTCTCTTATTATTATTTGTATCTATTTTCTATTTATGTCAAGGTTTACTGATCAACGACATCTACAATATCCCCTATATAAATTCTATACATTTTACAACTCATAGAAAACCAAGAAATATTAACATTAGACTTTGCTATTGATAAGAAGTTAGCTAAAAGATACTATCATATAGCTAAATATACTATGTCACATCACATCACATCAACAGTCTATAAGTGGCCACTGCTAACCAAAAGCCTCTTCTCGCAAGGAGAAGCTTTGAGCATTAATCACCACGCTTGCTCAATGCGGGTTGGTGATTTCAAACTTACAAATAAAAATTATAAGCACAGGTTTCCCCACGATGTTTCCCTTTACCTTATGTCAATTGTGTCTAAATTATCTTAGTAAGTACAATATAATTCGGAATAAGTTACATACAATAACAATACTCCACATTTAATCCATACTTGACACTGTTAATCCCAGAAATTACAGTAATCCAAAACTAGACTACGAGGCTAGGGCAACAAATAGGCCCAGTTTAGAGCAGTCGTAAAACAAATTCTAGGCCACACTAAATCAAGGTCGTAATCCATATTTCATAGGCTTGGCAATAAAAAGATAGACGTTCGAATTACATCGCGAAGTGCGCAAATGGAGTATCATAAAAGTAATGTAACTAGATCGTGCCTTTTATTAAGTAGGAGTAAGCAGAGGTAGAAAAGGCATAGGTATTTTTAACATAACATATAACATAATATCACGCTTTTTATCCCCGAAAGTGTAGGTACCCACTGTACAATGTAACATTCACTTTTCACTATTTATGTTAAGTATTGTTGTGTTAATTAAATAGGACCCTACCTTTTATGAGTTATGTTAAAAATCCCATGTAATACGGGGTTCCTTTTGCCATAATACCCACCGTGAATCATTAAAAATTGCATGTTGCTCAGTAGCACACTCGCGAGCAACGAGGCATTCCGTACTCAGTATGATAAACAAAATGTTTAGAACGAAACAATTGGGTTCAAGTTAGATAATATTATTAGTTAATGCAAGTACACACGTAAGTTAGAAGAATCAATATGATCTATGAAGTAATGTGAACTTGTGTAATTTACTCATTGAGAAATTATTGTTACATGTTTTATTGCAATGCATACCATATCAATTGTATGAAATAATACTTTGTAGATACATATAACGTTATTTATTCAAGTATTGTTTTCGAGTGTAGAATAAAGGTACTGGCTTTTCTTTTATTATAATATGCTTATTTTTGTTACTTAATTGATTTTTATACCAAGACTTGGTGAAAAAATCAAAATAGAAATCCTGTTCCTGGTCAGACATTTACTTCGTTTATCTTTTTATAACAATTGAAGCAATATCTCTGTATACTTACCAAATTAGCTGGTAACACTGCAAGAGTAGCTGGTACTATCTGTGTTGCTAGCTGTAAGGGTTGCCACCCGCTGAGAACGCGAGCAATGTTGCCAGTCTTCCATACTGTAACTCCTACTAGGCTGCCGTAGTGGCCCATGTACCGAACTGGTGTGGAGACCACGTTGCCTGGCATTGGCTCCGAGATGGGCCATAAGAATTGTGTTGTTTTTACCGTCTCTGTAACAAACATAGTTTGTAAACGTTATGCCAATCACTACTCGGGCGCTGCTCATGGCACAGAGGGTCATGGCGATCCGAATGATCCGCGGATACCGCACGATCTCCGGGGAGTTGGCGAACCTCCTTGCCGGATTACCGCCGTGGGATCTGGAGGCGAAGGTGCTCGCGCGCGTGTAGGCACGTCGCCGGGGCGAAACTCCGCTGCCGCGCCAAATAAGTGCGTGGCGGGATGAGCTCCGGCGCGATCTCATGGCGGAATAGCAGCAACGACTGTCGCAACCGAGAGCTGGGCTCGATGCCATTGCAGCGGTAAGTCCCCTCTTTGAGGAGTGGCTTGAGAGACGCTACGGCGTCCACGATCTCCGGCCACCGTAAGCGCGGGCCTGCGGACGGCGAGCATGGGTGGTTCCCCGTCCGACCAGAAACAGACCCGAGCGTACGGCGCGTCGCGTTCCGCGCGCGCCTCAAAGAGCCATCAGACCACCACAAATGGGCCTAACATGTATTTAAAAGGGGGCGAGGCCTTTAGTCAGACACGCGGCGTAATTTCAAACTCGTCAGTTATTACTGAAAAATCAGGGAAACCGAACTACAAGTTAAAAGTCGTTACCGTTTTGTGACCTCTCAATCAATGGAGGCAGTTTTAAACTTGATTAATGGTTGTCAATAAATTAAAGTAGTTTAAAATTAAGAATTGAATAAGTATTATGGAGATGAGGCTGTATCATTATTAATTTAAATACACTGTCTCACATCACATCCGTAGCAATGTTATGAGAAAATAAGACGATACATAAATGTACAGGAAGCCTAAGACAGAAGAAACGGTAAATGCAGTAACAACAGTCACAAAGGTCAAATGCGTGACTTAACATGTTACCTAAATAGCTTCAAAATTAGAAACGACAAAAACAATAGACGATTATTCCGCCGAATAGAAAGTACATATTGTACTCTAAGCTATTTACACAGAATTAGATTCTATCTACACAACGTCGTGTGTATAAAAACCATATTATTTTCTATCTTAAGTACAATTATACCTAAACACGTCATAGAAAAATAAATAGTAGGTGTCTCGAAAGCAATACGTCATCGACGGAATGATTAGCATCACGAGTCGAGTTGTATTGTTAATTTCATAGTAAATAACTGATATTAATGTGAATAATGCAGACCTACAAGAAATAGCATATTGTAATAGATAATACTGAATTATTATTATTACTGTATCTATAGGTAGACAATGGATAGACTTTATCTAGTTACGTATAGGCATCTTCATTGATTGCGTTACAACAATGAATGGAGATATCTGCAAACATTGAAATGAAAGAACGTATTTTCCCTATATGCCCTATATGTGTATAGTGCCCTAGTTCAGGGCTGTGCAAATGAAGGGGCCGCATGCGGCCCATGGGGTTTTTTTCATGTACCCCGCGACACACATTTTAATCTTAACATTTTCATCTTATGTGCAATCACAATAATAAAATTCAGTGTATGATTTGTATGCAAGTTTAGTCTGTGAGTAAATAATACAATGTTAAACATAATTATACAACTAATAATATTTTTATGGCCCTCCAGCTGTTGTAAGAAATTTAACAAGCCCGCGAGTATATATAGTTTGGACAGCCCTGTCCTAGTTGAGTGAGATAGAAGGATATCAATAATGCACTAAAACTACTAAGAGTGTATGTGTTTATAATTTATTAATACTCTCATAGATATCTACAACAACCAAAGCCCTTGTTTGGCGCTCTGATTGACCGGATTGATTCTCGTTTCGATCCCGTTAAACGTAAAACAAACTCACACTGAGTCCTCAGTCATTTTAGTCCTATACCCGATTTGTCCAATTAGATTTATAACTTAATGTAAGTACTGTAAGACGCATATTTATTTGTCCCAAACTCTTTAAGATATCATAGGTGTCTACCTATGATATCTTAAAAACTTGAAACCTACTCGGCTACCTAAGAGGTCTCTCTTAGGTAGCCGAGTAGGTTTCCAAATAGTACGTTATTTACCTACCTATTACTAGGAAACCTTTGAGATAAACAAACAAACTTTCATTCTGTAAATAGTAATATCAGAAAAGAAACGTAGAGAATTGAGCGCAAAATTGATATTGCACGCAGAACACTTAAATTTCGCGATGGATGCAAGCCTAAAATGTCGGACCGTTTTGTTAAGCATTCCTATTGATTACTAACATTTCAAATATTTTGTACTGATTATTTAAATATAAACATTTATACACTCTAAACGTTCCTACCACACCATCATTAATATAGTACTTTAAATATCGTTATAAAAATAATTGCCCTTTCTATAAACAGTTTAAGCCTAAAAATAATAGCCTAATCGTAACTAATCGGTCAAAGTTCATAGTCTTTATTTCCGGTGAAAGTCTGAAAACCGTGTTTTGATAAGATTTATAGTTATAGTTTACCCCATAAATAAATTAAGTAACACAGTGAACTCACCAAAACTGCCCGGTATATAAACGTATCCATAATTCTTCAATATTTGCACGCAAGTGTTGGCTAAGAACGATCCCAGTAACAACACGGCGAAGGTAAATGCCACTATGCACGCACTTTCCTTCTGAAGCATTACGTTCGTTTTGTTTTTAGCATTCTTATGTGATGTCAGTTGCATTATACAGGCACCAAGAAGGCCCCAAGTTAGGAATGTTTCCTGTGCAGCGGCTGCCCAGCTCTGGAAAAAGAAGAATGTTGAAAAAAGGACCTTATCACTTTTATACTAAGGTTTAAAATAAAAAAGCAAGGTATTCATACATTACTATTAATGAAGAACTCGCTCCATTCAGTCTCAGCGAATATATTGATGACAGTGTCGTATGGGATTAACGTGAGCAATTTCGTACACAGCACCAAAGTACCGCAGATCGGTAGGAATATCAGCATGTATACGGCCTGCAATTATATTCATAACGTGTTATGGTTACGTGGGAAATCACCTCCACACTACAATGTGCTGTAATCACTGTTACCTTGCCATAAGACCTCAATCCTTTACTAAGTGCGACGAAAACTATCATCCACACTACAGCTAAATTGAATGCAACTTGAAACTTTATTGTGCCGAAATACGATGTGTTGGACCCCAAATTCCTCTGTAAAACTTCCTCGTGAAAATACTGCGGCAATGTCTCCTGTATTTTATAAGTACCATTCTTTGTAACGTCTGCAACATAAAAAATCTTTCTCAGTTCGACCCCATTTCCTTGTTCCACAGCTAACGGATAACGTAATTGTGTAAACTGTTGACCTTCATTCGCACTTCCCGCTTCACTTGTTGATTGATATCACCGAATTTATCTGTCATTGTCCAAACAATAAACATTTAATTATGCAATTATTGACTCACCTTCAAAGTTGAATTCCTGTGGTAGTGCCCATTTATACCTGTCGTTTGATGTTATGAAAGAGTCTCTGAAGTAAACAAATATCCAAGACAGGCCAATTATACTGTACATGCCAATCACGGCTTGGGTAATGAGCAGAGAAACACCTACGCCTTGGAATATCGGTGATATACGCCACATGTCCACCGGGCCAGACTCCAGCACTTGGCCCAAACATAAATGCAATGTGAATAACGGTATACCAATTAAAAACGACAGTATAAAAAACTGTATTATGAAGCTTGCTGCAACAAGAAAAAAGTTCCATTGTACACAAACTAGGAAATTAGGTAAATCCATTTAATTACATAAAAGTCTTCATTTAGTAATTACCTCCAAAATGAACACTGAATATGGCAAATCTAGATATATTAAATATTCCCACGGTACAACTGAGGCACGCCAACATGGCACTCATACGATGTGGCCAAACTCCAAAAGGAGGTTCTTCAGTCTCTTCAATTCTGCAAAAACATTAACACATTCCTTAATCCGATTTTTAAAGAAAATTTAACTGAAATGATTAGTCATTAAATCACATCATATCCTATGACCTCATTTTTGAGAACGAAATGAGTAATATTATTACCAAATCGCGAAGGTTGCTGAACATATCAATGTAACTTTAGATGAAAATTATAACACAAGAACCACTGCTTAAGTTTAATATTACCTCTCCTCAGTGGCACTTGTAGCATTTTGGATTATGGGAGCAACATTCAGCGATTCAGTGGACGAGCTGGATGCACTTGTGCTCCTCGCGGTACTCCTTGCTGTATTCCGTCCAGTCCAATCTCCAGTTGTAACGTCACTCTCTCCCGGCGAAGGAAGGGAAAGGGTGCGATTCATTAGTAAGGCACGACGTCCCACAATCAAAGGACCCGAAGCACCGTCACTACTAAGATTTGCCGCGGTTACTTGTAACTGTATGGGAGCGCTTGTCGGGCGCATGTTAATGTTATGCTCCAGGAAAAGTATCACTGGTAGTGTAAGAGGCTCGCACGACGACTCAGCTGTTATCGCCGGCAGAACAATAGGGTCTAATCTCCTCATTGAATTACGCAAAGTGTCGGCTGTCGTGCTTGCTCTCTCTAATGATGAAACTAAAGCCTGTCGATCGTTATCAGTTAGTTCTGAAAAACTTTTCGAACGACCAAGACTTGTGAGATTCGATCTTTCAGATACACTGGATGTGATGCCCATTTCTTCTAGAGGCGGTGCTGATGGATGTACGTTGGAGCATGTTATTACTTGAGTATTGTCGTCCAGAGAACTTTGGGCTTCTGAATGGTCAGATTCCTCCTGACCTTCGCCAATGCATTCCTTAATCTTACAAATGAGATCTTCTTCATCACTATCGAAGCTTTTCGTGCCATCATCAAGGCACGCAAGTAAAGATTTATCTAAAACTTCATCTAAATCATTTAAAATATCCATAAATTGGCACAGAGCCGTCGCCTGAAATTCTTCATCGTTTGTGATGCTTGTGGTATGTGATGAAAAATTTGAATCAGATTTATAGCATTCTGGTATTGTCTTTTGCAGATCTTCTTTCAAGTCACCTTCGGATGTTTTGTCCAAGTCTTCACTACAGTGATCACTGTCGTTGCCCTCGAACGCGCTGCTAGAGGCGTCGCTGTCAATGCTGCTTCCCGGTACATTTTCACTCTGTTCATACCGGCCTTCGCCTATATTAACTACTTCCATTTTTATAGCATGGCCTAAGTCATAGCCCGCGCGCTTGGTTGACCCTGTAACAAGGACTTCACTAATTATCATTGCCGGAATGAACAATATATTGTATTAATTTACAATAAAAAAGGACATTTTGTTGTGATGATTTTCCACAGTTTGTACATGGTTAGCTGGTGAATGCAGAATGATGTTCGTATTTACATATGAATTAACTTGCTAATAAGCTTAATTATTGGTTGTGGCAATACGTCAAATGTGGCTTAATGTTAACACAGTAATGCTAAGACTGCCTGGTAGGTACTGCTTACAACACTTAGTACATAAAAATGAATCACTTGGGATTATTTCTTGTTACACATAGATAACAATGCTGTTTTCATGCTGCCAAAATTTATTTTAGCATTCACACAGACAGTCCAAGTGTGAATTAGCCTACATAACTGTAAAAAATTTTTCCTCCTCATCTCATCAAACAGAAAAAACAACTTAAATAAACAGGACTATTTTTCAAAACTCTTCGCAATATTTACATTGTATTCTCTTTTTAAATACTTTCTTATACAAACTAAATAAGATCAGGGGAAGTATGAATTTCAAGTTATGATAATAGTAAAACTACAATGAAATAACTCACAGCGCATTTTCATTTAACACTTAATATTGCTCAAGTTATTATTATGTTACACTTGCAACAACAAAACTAGACTGTGTGTCGTCAATGGCAAAAAAAAATGCATACAATAGACAATGCTACATCTTTCATCCCTCACCATTCAATGTTTATGCATTGTGTCTAAACATCACCTTAATTGATCATAAACTATAATAACTTAATTACAAACTCACTGCAAAATACTTAAACATGTACAAACATACAATTAAAACAAATGTTACATAAACTTATCTATATCTAAACAATAAGATAAAGTGAAAAATAAATTAACGCTAATGTAAACTGAATTAAATTTCTTTCACAATGCAGTGATAAATTTTACAATAGATAAAGGTATAAAGTAATGAGGAATATTGCGCAAGAAAATAAAAGATAAATATAGATAATATCTGATCGCATGCAACACTTGAGATTAATGATAATTCTCCTATAAGTGTAGGTGTATCACACACCTGTTCTTCGCCATTTCTAAGTTCTAATAATATTATTAGTCATAATGAAACAGGATATAGAATATAGAAAGTATCTACACTTTAAGTGGTTCTATAGTGGTCCTTCTGAGAAGTTCTGACACTGAATACAAATACAGAACAACACGAAACCTTCTCACCTTCTCTTCCCTGAACAGGCAAGGGTGCAATGGGATAAAGCATTTATTTTAAACTGTCAAACACCAAGTGGTCACCGGTGACCGCAACCTATTGTTCTATAATTGTGTCTATAATGACGAGTTAATTAAAACCATATTTCAGTTCTTTTGAAATCACAAATACAAAATAAATAATAGTCTGTCTGTCTGTTTACACTAGTTACGTTTTGAGCGAGGTCATGTATTAGACTGAGACCATTGTCATTTACTGGTCATTATTCCCAAATCAACAAAACTATGAAAATTAGATTTTATATGTATAGCAATATTTGTTCCCAAATTATGGGTTAAGACCCATTGGTGGATCACAAGCAAATGTTTAGTGGGCCATGTCTGTACAATGACATACTAACCAAGTCACCAACTGTTCTATACTTAACTTTTTGTTCTACATTTTCATATTGAAAATGGTTTAAATTACTAAAAGTGGGTCCTGAGTTTGGTAACTTGATTTAGGTAGGTTATAGTCCAGATAACTTTGGTCTAGCCCGTTGATATCCATCCCCTAAATTTGGTCATACAAAAGTATTCTCTAAACATTAGAAATAAGGTCTATAATGTAATGTAATATTAGTGGAAAGCGGTCACCGGTGACCGCTTGGGGATTTATGGGCTAGAGAATGTATAGCCAGCTTCTTTAGTTTCAAGTATTGATTGATACATCACTGATACGTTTTTGTTTTAACTAAAATAAATAATAATATATTTACCAGTGTTACATCATTATTGTCATATTTCAATATCATTGATTACACATTTGTTTCAAAACAACAGTAGCTATGTTTTAAGTACCACGAGAATACAGTGTCTAAGCACAAAATACAAATATTCTTAATATTTATTTTAGTACTTATACTGACATTGTACTGGCGTTTATTTTTATACTAAAACTACTTAGTAACTGGCAGATCCTTTTTAAATTTAGAAGTTCTTAGAAATATCAATACATTGCAGGTAATTTAGTCAAAAAACAAAAGAAAGCTACTAATGAGGATATAAAAACAACCTTTAGTAGTCTAAAATTTGATGAATATCTCGTTATTGGGAAACTTTAGACAGACTTTACTATACTAGACTAGCCTTACAGTATAAATTACAACAAATATATAAAACACCAAGTATTACTTTACAGTCTAGTGACATCAGAACCCAGCATAGTAGAACTTTTTTTAAATAACAGAATAACAATAAAAAAATTAAAACACTAACCTGATTTCCTGGCTGTTGTAAAGGTAAATCTAGCCTCTCAATTTGTCAGCTGTCGATAACATTATTAACAGTAAAAGGATGACAGATCACCTGTTTCATTAACTTCGAAGATAACTGCTTATTGTTTATTTATACTAAATAAATGCAATCCAGTGATGTTTTCGTGGGTGAATGAGTAAATTACGTACAATAAAGTATTACATGAGACTTGTACCAGCAGGTACGCACTAGAGGCGTACTTGAATGAAAGCGCCCTAAAATTTCGAAGACCACTCTAATTGTCAAACTTGTAGTCGATTTGAAAATGTGAGGTTTAAAAATCAATTGCGGTTCAAAAATCAATGAGTAATTAGTAGTCGACTAAACAATTATTTTATATAAATAAAACTCCGTATATTTCATGAATACTTCTGCCCAATAAAAATAGAATATTGATATGCGAATAAATATAATTAGTATAACATTAACCTCATTTTATAATATTTTCTAATATACTGAGGTTAATTATAGCCTGGATTATAAAATGCAATGCGCCGTTTGTGGTAAAACGATAGTCACAGAATAACAAAGTAGAATAATATCAAATATGTCTATATTATTGTTAGACGCCTGCTCGTCTTAGTAGAGTAAAATGAAATCGGAATCGGATAGAGGAATTAGAGAAGTGAACTACATCTTAAAAGTCTTGTTATTAAAACGTCAAAATCGTTGTCAACCATCGTGTAGTAAATAACGAATATCGACTCTAAGCTCCTCATGTTTAGGTTTAGAATAGGTTGGCAGTTTGTCAAGATTTGACAACAATATCCTTACGTTTGACAGCTATTATTTCGTTTACCACTGCGCATGTTCGTTTTATTGTTCATTAAATCAATAAAATAAAAGTCTTAGCAATAACATTCAAATAATTTAAAATTAAATAATGTACGTGTTCTTTATTTACGCCATAAATTATAAATTTGTATTAAAACTCTACATTACTTGATACAAAAATTATTCTGTTCCTCTGTAATAAAAATAACTAACTTTAGCTGACATGAACAATCAATGGGTCAAAGTATCTTTTCGTATAATGTTAATTATTAACGTTATCACGATATTCAGCCTTATTTTCTGAACATTAAGATTTTAAATAGCAATTTCGAAGTACGTGGGGTATCTGAAATAGATAAGTTTATGTAAATGTTTTTTTTATAAATTGCGAGTGATAAGCATTATCATATTCTATCAGTTTGGCAGTGCCTTTTCTTTGAGAATATTTACAATAGTTGTTAAAAGAATAAATCATGTTTTTTCTAAAAGGAAGTAGAATAATTACCATCAAAATGCGCCCAACAAATAAGGTTCGTCTTTCTTTACCCAGTTAAGTTTATTTTTCGTCAGTCGTAGATGGTTGGTCTGCCTAGTCAGTCACTGGGCTCCGAGAATACTAATAATATTTAACTTGATAAACTTTCATAGTTGTTACGAGTTAATAAGTTGGTTTTGTTAATTTACTCTTTGATTTAAACAGCTTTTTGAAGCGATGGCAGCGTATTCATCCAAAGTTTCCCTGAACGATGTGGTCATCGCGTCGGCGGTGAGGACTCCCATGGGCTCCTTCAGGGGTAGTTTGGCGAGTCTCTCAGCTTCGGAACTTGGCGCTGTTGCGGTCAAAGCAGCAGTGGAAAGAGCTGGAGTTCCCAATGAAGAAATTAAAGAGGTTAATTAATTCAGCCTACTTTCTTTCTGTTTTCCATTGATTTACAGTTATTATTTCGCCATGAACAGTTAAACATGCTAAGAATGTTAAGTTATATCACTTCATTTCTAATTTAAAAATCTGTAGTCATTTGTCATGTTTCTGACAAGATTATAGTTGATTACAATATCTCTAATCATTAATGTGTTTGTTATCAAAAAAACTAATATTAATTACTAACAGAAATACTTATTATTTAATTTAATTTCTATTATATAAACAAAAGTTGTTAATTGGTGTTATTATAAAAGAAAAGATGATGAAAGAAAATATAATCAACTTAATTTTTATGTTATCATTATGTTCTTATCTTCTTTTATTTAAATTTAAAATTATTTCAACTAACACTATTTAAAGAGGTCTACACCTCTTAGATTTGACCCAAATGTTAACCGGCAAGAAAGAAATAATATTTTGTATAAATAGACAAACCTCTCTTTTATAAAATATACTCTTTTAACTCACCTTTTCTATTGCAGGTCTATATGGGTAATGTCTGCTCAGCTAGCATGGGTCAGGCACCTGCAAGGCAAGCGGTAATTTTTGCTGGCCTTCCTAAAAGTACTATTTGCACAACAGTAAACAAAGTATGTGCATCTGGTATGAAATCCATCATGTTGGCCACACAGGGCTTACAAATTGGTTCTCAAGATGTAATACTAGCCGGAGGAATGGAATCTATGTCAAATGTACCTTACTATTTGAAGAGAGGCGAAACCCCATATGGAGGCATACAATTAATTGATGGTATTGTGTTTGATGGTCTGACTGACGTATATAACAAATTCCATATGGGTAACTGCGCTGAAAACACAGCAAAGAAACTTAATATTAGTAGGCAACAGCAGGATGACTATGCCATTTCTAGTTACAAGAGGAGTGCTGCAGCATATGAAGCTAAAGCTTTTGCTGATGAACTTGTATCAGTCCCTGTACCTCAGAAGAGAGGTGCCCCTCCAGTACTATTTGCCGAAGATGAGGAGTACAAAAAGATTAACTTTGAAAAGTTTACTAAATTGTCGACAGTATTCCAAAGGGAAAATGGTACGGTGACAGCTGGTAATGCATCAACATTGAATGATGGAGCTGCTGCCATGGTGCTGATGACTGCTGAAGCTGCACAGCGACTGAATATTAAACCCATTGCCCGTGTTGTTGGCTATGCCGATGGAGAGTGTGACCCAATTGATTTCCCAATTGCACCAGCTGTTGCAATTCCTAAGCTCTTAGAAAAGACTGGTGTCAAAAAGGATGATGTAGCTATGTGGGAGATCAATGAAGCCTTCAGTGTTGTTGCTGTTGCCAACCAAAAGCTGTTGGAACTTGACCCTGCCAAGGTCAACATTCATGGAGGAGCTGTGAGTCTAGGACATCCTATTGGCATGTCTGGAGCCAGAATAGTAGTGCACTTGTGCCATGCTCTAAAGAAGGGTGAAAAGGGTGTAGCCTCTATCTGTAACGGTGGTGGTGGTGCCTCATCTATCATGATTGAGAAATTGTAAGTTTCAACATGTTCTGACCACCTTGTTTTGTTATCTACTGTGCCTTTTAGGAATTATTTGCTATTAATGAATGGTTTGTCTGTTTGCTAGCTAGCTTTAAAAGTTAAATATTTATATTGTTGATAATTATAATATGTAATTTTTATATCCATATCTTTTGTAAATAAGCTATATGGAAAAGTGTTAAGATTGTATTCTATTGCATAAATGATTGAATAATCAATAAAATATTTTTTTATAAATTATTTTTATTAATGTGTTGCTTTGGTTTACTATTCCAGAGCACACACTTCAGATGGACCACCAGTTTTAACTTTTTATACTAAAGACCCATGTGGACTATGTGATATAGTCATGGAAGAATTAGAACCCTATAAAAATAGATTAATTATCCAAAAAGTAGATATCACAGAAAAAGAAAATATAAGGTGGTTGAGATTGTACAGGCATGACATACCTGTGTTATTTCTGAATGGCCAGTACTTATGCATGCATAAGTTGAACAAGCATTTGTTAGAGAAACGATTGCAAATGATTGAGGAAGAAAAATCTTGAATTGATCGGCGGTAATGGGCAGTAGGTAAATAAATATGAGTAGGTACATGAATATTTAATGGGCTGTATAATAATACCAGTGAACCATGAAGGACAAGTAAAATCCAACAGTTTTATAGCAACAAAATAGTTTATTATTACGCATGTAATATTATACACATATATACTATTAAAGTAAAATGGTAAAATGTCTAGGAATTTCTTTAAATAGTAGTACTTCGGCACAATAAAATATTAACTATATAATGAATGTAAAACAGGTTTTTTTTTAAATTACCTTCCTAATTTCAATATTAAACCAGTTTTTTGTTAGTTCGACTGATATAATAAAAATATCCCCGTTCATGGGCGTAGCCACACTGGGGCAAGCTGGGGCACTTGCCCCACCCTGGGCCCTGGCTCTGACCCATAAGGTGTCTGATTAAACAATGATTTTTTTACTAACTCTAACTAACAACATCAACAATTATACTATCCGTAAGTAATTGCACAAAAAAATTGTCGACTTTGAAAAGAGCGCGATCAAAACAAAATGCACGCTTGAGTTCCCGAAAGTGCGCGGTGCGCGCGTCATTTGAAAGCGAGCCGTATTCCTTGTAAGAATAGGTACTATGTGGTAGTATCACCGCGCGGTCACTCATCCCCGCGCCCCGCGAAGCGCAGACTAAAATCTTCTATGGTTCGTGGCGCGATTTGTATTGTTTGCTTGTTTTGTTTAATTTTAATTTTCTAGTTGATCTTAATTTTAATTTTTGTAAATTAAGTGATACTTTCCCAAGCGAGGCTGAGATGTGGTATTTGTGGGAAGAAAATAATACGGACATTAATGCATTGAAGGAGATGGAACTGGTAGATGTGATCAAAATTTCGGAAATGCAATTTTATCCTAGTGTTCGCTATTTTGCTTGCCCAGCCATCTACGACCTTTACAATAGAACGATCGTTTAGCACATTACGGCGGGTCAAAATGTAGCTTCGTTTAACCATGAGCGAAAATCGTTTAAGTGGCCTGTGTACATGCTAAGTGTGCACAGCACAAGGGTCTCAGAATCGAAAAATAAATTTTTAGAAGAAGTGCTTAACAGGTTCTGCCACAACACACGCCGTCTTCTCTTGAAGTAATATTACTCATACATAATATACTTAGTTAAAACTTTAATTTATAAACACCCAGTATTCATAAATAAAACTATGAAATCTGTCCTGTGTGTGATTGTTTATTTTCTGTACCTGAAAATATAAACCTCTCAAATTAAGAGATTTTTTTAATGGGACAAGCCCGCCTTAACCTTCCAAAACCGCTGCAACTGCAGTGCACCAGGATCTACAGTAGATACAACTATGAAAACACCAGAACACTGAAGTCCGACGCGTCTCAGCGACATGAGTAACTGTCTTGGTTCCCGCAACGAAGTGAATCAGAAGATATTATAAGAGGAGAAGAAGAAAAACTATGGTTTTCACTTCCCTCGGTGAATTACTGCAGGAGACAGAATGAATTAAGCCTAAAGGCACAAAGAAGAGACTGTACAACTGGGTGAAGCCCAGTCGCCAAGCACCACGGAAATTTGACTAAAAACTAAGTGGGTCCTATGTGTGAGCTGTTATACTTGCTTCCAATAATAGGTATGGCAAAAACGCCTAAACGCACGGAAATTCGTTCTAGATTCCACAAGGTCCGTATAATAAGCTACACCTGACGAAACAATTAAATTATTTAACATAGTGTTACGTTCATATTGCCAGAGATCACACTCCCAGAGTATGTGATGGGCCGACTGCTCGTATCGCAACTCCTCTGTCGAACATTGGCACCATGGTGAATCAATAAGTTTAAATGAGAACAATTTGCCTTTAAAGTTGCCGTGGCCAGTAAGAAATTGGGCAACACAGTGATCCACCTCCAACCATGTCCTCTCCAGCCGCTCATGCACGGATGGAAAGAACTGATACAGGTGGCGGCCCTTAATAGAAGATGCCCATCTACACTGCCATTCAGTTATAAGCTCATCCCAAACGTCCGTTAATGGCTTGAACAATATAGCAATTTTATTTTGATCATGTTGTGCTAGAAAGCTTACTGACAAATTAGGTCTCGCACTATAGTACATAGCAGCACGTCGCTACACCTCAAGATCTACCGAAAGTACGCCCGCGAGCACAGGTAGGGCTTCAGTGCTAACCGTCCTATAAGCCTTACACAGGAAAATCAAGGCTAGATGCTGGCCTTGAAGAAGTTTTCGCCGTTCCGCGCCTATTGTGGCCCTATCAGCCCAGACAGGTGCCCCGTAGCACACGCATCCCAGGTAGGTTGCTCCGTATATGATCCTGAGCGTAAGAAAAGAGAGACCCCAGGTGACCCCAGAGGACCTTTTAAATTCGCGTCAGCGAATTTTTTCTTTTTGGCTTTCTCACTAATAGCCTTAAAAATGTTCAATGAAAGAAAAGTTTTATTCCAAAACTAGACCGAGATAGCAAACCGACTCCTTTCGTTTTACGGAAACGTTGTTAAATTTAATAGACGGCCACGACTTTAGATTTCCTTTAAGCAATAGCTGGTAAGTTTTATGGGGTGCAAAAGTCAAGCGATTTCGTTCGCCCCATCGCGAGATCCTACTGAGACAGTCTTTAGCCAAATTTAAGAGATGACAAGTTTGAGATTAACGGCTCAAGGTACAAAAAATCGGAGGGCCACCGCCCTCCCCCGGGGGACAGGTTGGCTGCTGCCCCACCCTGAGCCCAAAGCTGGCTACGCCCATGTCCCCGTTATAGAATTTAGACAGGTACTCTTGTAGCAGTTATGATCAATCGCTACAGTTATAATGACCTTATTTTGCTCCACTATATACCTGCCTACATTTTCAGCATACCTAAATGCAATGTAATATCGCCTTCAGAAAATGATTTCGTGGGTACCTACTTGTGTTAAAGGTTTATTAACAAAGCATCACGCTTCTAAATCTCTAAGGGAGTAAGTAAGAGGAGCATGTATAACTCCCAAGTTTCGCCAGTTATAAATCCCAAGACTGTCTAAGCCTGGGTACAGGGTGGAATATTTTGTACCTGAAGGGGAAGTAATCTTAATCTTAATACTTAAAATAGAAAATTTAACCAAAGAAAACATTCCTTTATTTTTTAAAAGAAACAAAGCTTCATTCAAAGATTTTAAAAATTAGCTTGCCTCATACGGTAATCGCACCGACTAAAATCTCAAAGTTTGCACCCTTTATTGCATCGATTGTTCATTGTATTCCTTTCATTAAATTTATGAAGTTTGATAGAGAGATTTCATCCTTGATGACCCTAACAATCGATGCAGTAAATGTAGGGTGCAATGTTTACAGATTTTTGTCGGTTCGACTACTACCGTGTGCGGCAAGCGAATTTTAAAAATCTTAGAATGCAGTTTTCTTTCTTTTCAAAAATAAAAGAAAATTTTCTTTGAGTAAAATTTTCTATCTTTAAGTATTAAGAGTATTTCCCCTTCAGGTGGCATTACAAAATTCCATCTGTATATCTACCAGGTCCAGACTGCTTCTTTAGAAATGTCTATTATGAAAAATTTTAAATAAAACGAGCCAAGTCCTTTTGCTCCTTTTGCCAGGCCCCAAAACCGAAGCTAAGAGTCACGGAGAACCTAACGGGTAACCGGGGCTCCGGCTCGACGTGCAGGAGAAGGAACGGGGTGGTTTTTAGTCAGTAAGAGTCTGACACTCCCTTCCGCCTCACCCAGGCGGGAGCAGTCATTCGATGATTTTCCCCCCTTAAAAAAAAGACCCCTTGCCCGCAATGGGGGCTACCATTTTTTTGCCCACCATATTTCGTCCAAGAGAAGCAGCCTAGATCTCTAGAGCCTACCCTAGAAGCTTATCACAAAGATAATGTGCTTGTGTTACCTATGTAATATGTAGGTATTTATTCGTATGTGTACCAAACTAAAACCCACAACTACTGCTTTCGAGGATCTAGAATACAATACGTAGTATCTCTAAGTAGTCTGTGGATCCAGATGTCTAGCTATCAAGAACTCAACAAACTAGAGTGGGTGGTGACATAAGTATTCAAGCAGATTCCAGGTCAAATCAACCGTTGTTAAAAATCTCTGTTTAATCCAGAAGTTGCTCGTTGCCTTGCTTCTTTGTTAAACTCAAATAAACTTACTGAACTTAAATTCCTCAATCACATTTTTCACTTTTTGTTAGTTTTTCTTTCTGGCAACACTAATGAAAACACTATTCATTTATGTTCGTCTGTCCCAGATGTCGCTTATCTAATAAACAGCAAAGGAATATGTACCTTAAAACTACCGCGATAAAATGCTAAATAGATTTTTAGCAATTGAATGTTGATAGATCGCTTGCCTCTGCATTTTAGTATCTGTGGCTAGTCATTGTAATGGTTGACAATTTGGACATGTAATAAAATTTACGAAATAAATTCGTAATATTTTGAGTGTTTTTCTCCAATAATTATGTGACTTTTCAACTGATTTACTTATTAACACGTTTCATAAGTGATTTAAGTATTGTCTCTCATTCATCTTTTTTTATAAATTGATCTTAAAAATTAAGTGATACAATGGATAATTCTGCTATACAAACATTGGAGGCGGCTGCTCAGATGTTGATGGTAAGAAAATATTGGTTTCTAAGGAAAATACTTTGCTCCTACAATTTAAAACAACAGTCTTCTTCCCAGGTTTTCAAAATATTTGTTTTGGTTGCCACTATAATGAGATAACTTAATAAACCTATTCTCACATTTTCTTTAGAAAAAGACTATTATAAAAATAACACCACATGATTTTTTGGCAATCAATTTTATTAGTTTATTAATATGAAAATAAAGTTCAATTTAGGTTGTGGTGGTATTGTATGCATGGTATTAATGTCCCCAAAACATTTTTTTCAGTAAAAGCATGGTAATTAACTTAGTCTTCAGTCTACACATTTCTGAATATACATTTAATAAAATTTAATAAAATTTATTTGTATAAGGTTTCCTAGCTTATATTATGTTGAATATCACTAAAACATTGATAAAAAAAACAAAAAATACAAATTCCAGGAACATTCTTCATTGTTTATTCTTTATTGTTCAAAAATGTGACACACAAAGAACTAACTCACTATCTTAACAAATTAGGACTAAGTTTGTAAAGAGGTTCAAGCGAATGAATTTAAACATGATAGACAGTTATTATACAGGCTGTATTTAACACAAAGCATTTGCCCTCTGACCTCCATAGTTTAAGCATTAGGGATTAAATAACATAATTGGTTAGTAACATACATTTTGTGAATGGACAACCAATCTTAATAGCTTTCTATGATCTTTCTTATGTATTTTAGCTGTACTTATGTATATTATGTTTGGAAACTAATTTCTTTACTAAAAGAAATGCGATTGATGAGGTAGGTTGCGTGTAGGCAGATGTGCTCGATTGTAGGCCGCATCGTCTCTTACCACCAGGCGATATAGTGATCAAACATTGACCAATCAGATATAAAAAAACTCAATCTTATATCATGTAGGTACACATTGCTCTTCTCTCTTCAACTAGGCTGAATGCCTGAGATATAGCTGTTTAGCTATATCTTGGCTATTCAGCCTAGTTGTAAGTATAGCTAAACAGCTATATCTTGGCCATTGCAATTGATTATAGAGCCATTACAATTACATAGTAGTAGATTGATTGCCAAAAATACTAGGTTCAATCTGCCTTTTATAACTGAGAGTTTTAAAAATAAATAGGTATCAAATCACAGTGTTTCTTTGCAATCTCTGCAACTTATGACTAATTACTAGTAATAGTATTATAATACCTATTTGTTACTTGTAATTAGGTAATTATTGTTTAGTTTTCCTGTAATTAGTATATTTGTTAATTTCCAATCTTGCAAGGACTGGAGGTTGCACTGACACTTAAATCCTCAAACATATTTGGACATTAAGGTTTTGACTGCTAATAAAAACTGCTGAAGGCATATCTTCCGCATTGTCGGTCAACGGTGAACCCATGGCGTTTAATGTGTTAAGCATTGTACAATATACATGTTTAATATTATGTTATGTTACTTATGATTATGTAATTTTTTGTAGGCACCACCACAAATGGTGACATCTGAGCAACGTCACCAAGCTGAAAGTGTATTTCTCGAGTTTCGAAGCACCAAAAACCCTTATCAATTGTGTCGAGAAATTTTAGAGAAATCTACATCAGACTATGTACTATTTGAAGCAGCGGGATTGTTGAAAGCTGCTCTCATTAGAGAATGGACACTGCTAACAGAAAACGATGTCAGCTCATTGCGAGAATATTTACTATCCTACTTATTGAGGAAGGAGGCACCACCATTTTTAAGGGAAAAGCTTTTGCAGGTAATATTCAATTTGTCAATTAGTCAACTTTCTCAAACAGAATTACAGAACAATTTTAAGACAAATTCTATTAGTTCAAGAGAAGCAGTTATTGATTTCAATAATCCCATTGTTGGTTTAACTAAAATGTGCATTTTTTTTCAGACAATTGCCATTATTATCAAGAGAGGCAGCATTGACGATGGAGGAAGAGAGAGGAAAAATTTGATTATTGAGTTAGAAAAGATTATCCTTAGCTCACCAATTAGCCATCAAAAGTTGGCCTGCTCGCTTATACTGGCCATTATGCAAGAGTTCGCAATTACAGTTAAATCAGCTGACGTCGGCTTAATTTGGGAGGTCCATTTTAGACTGAAGAAATCCTTTGAAGCATTAGATTTAAAAAGGATATTCAGGTTTACGGTAGGAGTTCTAGAACAAATTGTGCGTTCTGGGCTCAGACCTGAAGGGGAACAAGCTTTGCTAACAAAGCAATTACTGACTATTGTGGAGACAGTATTGTGTTGGAGTCATGTATCGCCATTATTGTCAAAAAGATTGATCGGCGCTTTTGAAGCTATCTACGAGAGCGATACCGCCCCTGCACTACGACTAAGCCTGAGCTGGCGAGACACGATAATGCAACCTGAACTCCTTGCATTATTCTTTGAGATACACATGTATGTCAGGTCCAATCCTGACTTAGCTAGCCCGTCACTCACTTGCTTAGTTCAGCTAGCTAGTCTTAGTGGTGTGGTGGTATCCGCAAGTAACTTGAAACAGCAGTATTTGGAGAACTACGTGAATAGTTTCCTGAATATGATGGCGTACATTCAACCAGTCGAGAGAGAAATGCTGGGGATCTCTGATATATACAGGAGATTGATTCAGTTCTTCTCGCCGGCGATGATAGCTGCGACGCCACCGGCGTTTCTCCAGAACTTGACGACGCTTACGTGTCATTGTATCCGAGGATCGGTAATTGAAGAAGGTGTAAATGACGATACGGTATGGAGGGAGTCATTAAACAAGTTCCTTCATAGTTGGAGCTCATTAGTTCACGAATCTGATGGTTACTCTAATGAGACATTAATGAATCCATGTATTGAAGTATTCAATACTTATCTACAGAGCCGACTGGCGCCACCTGATGGCACAAGGTACTAAACATATTTAGTATATTATTTGCTCATATTTTATCAGTCAGCCTTATCAAGGTGTGTTCAGTTTTATGCTTGTAGCATATGCAATGATAAATAAAAAGATGTAGTTTGATTAAATATCATCATAAGCAACATTTCTTCTCAATAAAATAGAATACTATATGTTATAACCTTCAAAAATAGTGCATAAAGACTTCCTATACAAAGATGCTTTTAAAACGAATAAAATACGATTGAAGAGATGGGAATTGCACTCTTAGGTACTATGCAACTTTCACTTGAATTCGATCTTTAGATCTTTGACTCAACGGCTTGCTACTAGAGAAGCCTAAGTGCAGCAGTTAATGGTGTTATTCACATTCTCAGGCCAGCTGACACAGAGGAAGACATCAAGGATGAGTTGGAAGAAGATGAGCGTAAACTGCATAGCAATGTACTGATGACCATCGGGGCTATAGCTCGCAAGGCGCCAGCTCACTGCTGCCATGTGCTCTTTACCTTACTACAGGATCGGAGTAAACGGTAACAAACATTGTTAATTTTCAACCAGGCCAGCTAGCTAACCAACTGCCATGCAAAAAGGTGGGGAGTATGCTACTCTCACAGATAATTATTTTGTGTTATCTTGAAATTGACATAATTTCTGAATGAATATTTGTAATCAGACATACAAGAGAGTATCCTAGTGTAGAACAATGTTAAAAAATTACATGTAAGTGCATTCAGAACATTCCCAACCTTATTTTCATTTTTAAAAAGTTAAGGATGTTTGTAACATGTAACAAACTTGATCATGCTCATTATAAAGTTTTTTGAGATATAGTGTGTTAATCAATAATATTACCAACAGGTTAGAGGGTCAACTGCAGTTGATGCATATGGGTAAACTGCCAATAAGCGGAGGAGGTCACTTAGTCACCCTATTTGAAGATCTTCATTGGATACTCATGATCACAGGTATGCTATATGCTTCATACCTTTTTATGGGATTTTTTTTTAAGGGGGGAAAATCATCGAATGACTGCTCCTGTGAGGGACTATCAGACTCTTACTGACTAAAAACCACCCCGTTCCTTCTCCTGCACGTCGAGTCGGAGCCCCGGTTACCCGTTAGCTTCTCCGCGACAGCTTTTTATGGGATATATGCGTGTTGTCGGCTTTTATTGAACTTCTAGTAACCTCTTTGACTAGATTTTGGTGTTACATTGTTCTCACACAATTGAACCAATAAAACTTTGTAACTAAAGAATTGTATTGTAAACCTTATTGAAAAAGAGTAATCTATGGAGCGTCTTGCTGGTTCTTTTCCATGGGATTCTTTTACACTTTGGAATGAGCAAATAGCTTCACTTTTAAATTTTTTGTTGACGTTTATAAATGCCTTTCTGGTGTAATTGAATAAAAATATTTTGAGTTTGACTACTAAACAGCTACGATACACAACAAGTCATGGTGGTTTTAAGTATCTTGAGATAGAATCTGTCTTATTAATTTCCGCAGGTCATTTCCTAGCCGTCGACTGCACAGAAGGTGAAACAGTGATGATTCCCTCAGAGATCATCCACTTCAGTTTGAGGGAGAACGCAAATATCGATGCTTCACTTCGGTATCTCGTTGGGGAAACGACAGACACTGAGAATGTTGATTCTGTCCTCAAGTAAGTTCTTTACCTTAACACAAGAATGAGTTTCCTTCAGTGTCGTGGTTTTGTTTAAAATTACTTTTTTCTTTTATGATACACTAGCTCCTGCCATCGGTTTCGGTTACGTTTCCGTGTGGTCAAAAGTAGACTAAATGTTATTCCAGACCTGTTATTTATCCCTGTAATAACCAAATTTAGGTACACTTGAACCCTTCAGTCGTCTTGACGTGAAGTAGAACAAATGAACAAACATACAAACGCCGATGGTTAGTTGACTGCCTCATTTCCCGAGTGGTCGCAAGTGCGATTGCTTGGCAAGGAGTCTCGGGTTCGATTCCCGGGTCGGGCAAAGTATTACTGCGTTTTTTAAATTTCTCAGTAGTAACACGGAGTCTGGAAGTGTGCCCGGTATATGGCAATAGGCTCATCCCCTATTATATGGGACTCATTACATAAATAGTGAAAAGTGGGTGCTACATTGTACAGTGCCATTAAGTGCCTTAATTTGCACTTCTGTCTATACCTCCGGGGATAAAAGGTGTGATGTTATGTACGCCTATGGTTTAGTATAAGCCGCGACAGAATTCTCCAAGATGTTAATAAGAATTGTGTCCTCTCAACAAACCGTCCTTGCTAGCGTAGCTTTATTAATCTAAAAAATATTTTTGATAATCATTCATTCAAGTGTGGGAGAGCCATGGTTCGGCACGAATGGGCCGGCTCGACCGAAGTGATACCACGGCCTCACAGAAAACCGACGTGAAGCAACGCTTGCGTTGTGTTTCGTCCTGTGGGTGAGGTCGGAGGCCCAATTACCCTCCCCTTCCCCAATCTTCCCAATCCCTGAATCCCCAACGATCCTCAAACTCCTAATCCCCAAAAACCCGGTAACACACTTGTAACGCCTCTGGTGTTCCAGGTGTCCATGGGCGACGCCGATTACTTACCATCAGGTGATCCGTCTGCTCGTTTACCGGCTTATGCCATAAAAAAAAAGACATAAATTCCACGCGGGCGGAAAATTCGCAGGCGGAATATTTGTTACATATGTCGAATTCCAATAGTCTATTCAATGTTTTGTTGCACTCAACATAAACTCATTTCGTTCTATCTCACCTATGCATCTGACATAAACGGATGTTAAATGTTATCATACATCCTGCCTTTTGTACGTTTGTTTGTGCAATGAATACTGTTCTTATGTAAAATATTGTATACAGTATAACAATGCAAGGAAAATCTTTTGTTAAACATCTTAACGAGAAGAATTGTTTAGTGTTTAAACGCCTAGGAGTCTTTTACTATTTTACTTCATATGTAAAATAGTTGAACTTATTGAAGTATAAATAAGTATATTTGAATGTCCCATGACCTAAAAGTTTAACTATGTTTTCGTAAACAAATTTTGATCTAATTTTAGTGATTGTTTATTTGTTTTGAATTATTTGAATACAACATCACGCATTTTATCCCCGAAGGGGTAGGCAGAGGTGCACATTACGGCACTTAATGCCGCTGTACAATGTAACACTCCCTTTTCACTATTTATGTTATTAGTCCCATGTAATAGAGGGTGAGTCTATTGCTATATACCGGGCACAATTCCAGACTCCGTGCCAGTGCTGAAAATTTCTTAAAAAACCCAGTAATGCTTTGCCCGACCTGGGAATCGAACCCGACCGGAGACCCCTTGCCCGGCAGTCGCACTTGCGACCACTTTGCAACGACGTAGTCAACGGATTACCCACGTAAATATATACTGAGAAAAGTTCCACTAACCAGTTTTGAGTCACAGAGGGACTCTTCCTCATGATGGGTACATTATTTATTATTAACTAGCTGACCCGGCGAACTTCGTACCGCCTAAATATTGTTTTCTGTCCTTTTAAACCTTCCCTGGACTTCCATGAACATTTCAAGACCCAAATTAGTCAAATCGGTTCATCCATTCTCGAGTTTTAGCGAGACTAACAAACGGAAATTCATTTTTATTTATATAGATATGCGCAAAATCATAATAGGATATTCGTTATCACTGTTATAACAAGACTACATCTACATGAATGTGTCTAAAACAAATATTCACTACATGTAATGTAATATTTTGCCAACTTGGGAATATAACTTGAATCACTTTACTCGACATTTGCTTGCACTACAAGTGCCTCTTTACTAACAACCCCTACTTTTATACTTTATTTTAAACACACAAAACTATAGACTATTTCTATGTCTTCCTACAGGCTTATTGGCGAAATTATTCGCATAAATGCATGGGAATGCGCAGCGTTAGAAGCTGGGTTAGGCAGTGTCTTCAGTCCAGAATTATCCGCTACTATCTCATGGTTACTCAAGATATGGGCCAACTCGTACTTGATGCCACAGTCGTCTGTTTATTCTGAGGTAAGTTTTATGAAAAAATAACTTGTGCTGTTGTAATAGCATCAATAGATGATACATACATTTTTTAAAAATCATTTAAATATGTATAAACAATGTGTAAGGTCTTTTTCTATCTCTTTGTCTGAATATTGGTGTTACATTGTTCTCACGTAGTCGAACCAACGAACCAACGAAACAAAGTAACTATGAATTGTATTATAAATCCATGCATTCATATTGATGGTGTCTTTGAAAATTCCAGTATTGCTCTGTTTTGAATATCTACGTGAAGATGCCATCATGTCTATAATCTAGTTTTTACAAGCTATTTAAATCATATCTTGTTTCTCCTTCGAGTTTTTTTAACTTCTTTATTTTCAGTTGATTTTAAACTAATTTGTATGATGTTAATCAAATGAAAAATCAAAATAATTTATTTGCAAAAACATGTGGATACATACACAGCACACACACGCATGTGAATGTATATAGGATGAACAAGATAAGGTTGCACTGAAGACAAGTTTGCCACTCGTCATGGCATGCAAATTTCAAGTTACAAGTCAAATTATAGTATTTATAGTAATAGTAACATAACATCACGCCTTTTATCCCCGAAGGGGTAGGCAGAGGTGCACATTATGCCACTGTACAATGTAACACCCACTTTTCACTATTTATGTTATGAGTCACATGTACGTGAACCTACTGAGAATTTTGTTTAAAACCCAGTAATACTTTGCCCTACCCGGGAATTGAACCCGAGACCCCTTGCCCGGCAGTCGCACTTGTGACCACTCGGCCAACGAGGCAGTCTAGTAATAGTACCTAGTTACGGTTGAAAATTGAGTAAATAAATAATGGTTGGGTCGTACAGCAAGATTGCTTAGTAAGAGAGCGTTGGTTTGTGCAGATGTCCCCGATCCTGGCGATGCTGGAATAATCTGATAGTATCCTCATAAACCTACTGTTTAAATTCTATTGACCTACTTATCTTATGAAATTTACTGCAACATTATTTTGCTTATTGATTTATCAGGTTAAGTAAAATAATTAATTTCAGCAACGTAGTCGTGAAAAAAAATCAAAAAATAAACAATCCAAACATAACCAAAAAAGGTGTAACCTAGAAGATTATAATAGTAAGCTAATCCGGTTGCACCACTACAAATGTCAAAAAAGTGAAGCCTCGTACTCAGATTTGTATGATGCTCTTTATTTTCGGAAATACTAATTGAAATCAATGCAATTGAGATTATTGGATTAATTTAAATTGATCTTCGTGCACATTGCAACGTTTAGTGTGTAGTTGTTTATAGTGAATGTGTTTGAATTGACCGTATTGGGATGTGCGTTGTTTATCTGACATGTACCTATGTCGGAATTTCCTAAATAGACTATAGTCAGAATTTTAATTAGATTCCAGATTTGACAATAGCTACTGTCATTTTGTGAAATAATGATACCACATGTAATAGTGTAGTGATGAACACAAAAATCGATAAACAATCAGTGTGTGTGTTTTATAATAAATGTTACAGAAAGTGACAGGATAGCGATAGCGATGACGGCGACAATTTATAAAATAACTTATTACCTTATTACATCTATCTGTTTTATTTTTCATGTTTCTTCATGATTACATTTTTCCATTTATTTCACACACAATTATAAAAGAAAAGTCTCAGATCGTTAATTAATCGTCAAAACTAAATTATCGGTTCAGAAATATTTAATTTCCTGATATACTTAGTTTACGGGAGTAAAATTATAAACGAGAAAAATCGATCCAGAAATATTGCATTTCCATATCGAATAATTTCGCAACGTCACTATTTAGTACTTGTCATAACGTTGCAACACTGAAATTGTCAAATCTGGAATCGAATTAAAATTAAAATTCCGCCTCACCCAGGCGGGAGCAGTCATTCGATGATTTTCCCCCTTAAAAAAAAATCCCATAAAAAAACTATCATCCATAACCAGAACCAGACCTAAGTGCCTCCAATAATAAAAGTAAATAGAACTGATATTGATCAATCGAGGTAGTGTGTTTCTTGTTATTCTTTTCGTACGTTACGTTTGAAAGTGACAGTATAATAAAGTTACTACATTTTTATATCATTATTCACATCAAATATTGCGTGCTATTCTCACCAATTAAAGCTATAGAATAGATATCACAAAGAAGACAAGAAGTTGATGGCCAATCTTTAAACTGGCAATGTAAATAGTTCAGTATTCTCACCAAACACTATAATATATTTTTATTGTTTTAAGGCAAAATCCACTGGCGACGTGTGAGGAGTTCCTTGCATTATTACAATGGGAAGCGGCCGGTTGCAATTTACCGGGAGAATTGAGGAAGGAATTACATAGAGCCTTCGCTATCGCAGCTACTTATGCCGAAGGTATGTATAGAGGGCGTTGGTATCGCTTGGCCCAAACTACTTTGTTTAGGTTAAAAGTGATGTCATCTCTGACCTGTACTGTGTATTTTTTTTTATTTAACATACATTAAGTCATGAGTATCATGTTTGACTGCACGGTTGGCGCAGTGGCTGGGTATCTGGCTGCCGCTTGACGTGTAGCGAGTTTGATTCCCGCACGGAGCAACTCTTTATATGATCCACAAATTGTTGTTTCGGGTCTGGGTGTCATGCGTAGTACGAAAAGTGGGTGTTACATTGTACAGTGGCATTAAGGGCCGTAATGTGTACCGCTCTGCATACCACTTCTGAGATAAAAGGCGTGATGTTATGATGATATGTAATTTTCAGGTGACGTCCGAAATCGTCTTTTATCAAGCACAGTATCTCTACAAGAAAAGCTAATGAATTTAATAAATATGGAGTCTGACACTGAACCCGTTCGCAACATGCTCGCTGATACTCTCGACTGTTTTATTGGTGTCACTGATGGAGTTCTTGAGGTAATTATAATATATTTTTATAAATATTTTGCACATTGCTATGCCATTCCATCTCTATGCTTACATGACATTACATCTTGTTTCATTCATTCATTCATCACATTCAAATTAACAAACAAATTCCTTTTGGACAGTTGTGTTCTTTTTCGCAGGTCGGAACAATGGACGAACAATTCATGATGTTAATTGGTGCCTTAGACAAGATACCAGGGATCATATTTAGATATCACAACTATCCCGGAGTAGTGTTGCCAGCTCTCAACTTACTCGCTAAGAGCGCTAAAAGGATGCTGCATTCTGTACAGCCGCAGAATGTTAATAAGTATGTGCATATTTTAATATTTTTATTGATCAATAAGTATTTTTATGTTAACGCGATAATTTTATTCGAAGTAATCGATTGTAACCAGCCTAATCGTGTGTGGTAATCAATTAATCACACTGTATAATTTTTTTTATTCAAAACGTATTTTTTCAATGACAAATTATTTATTTGCAGGTTTCTGGAAATATGTAACACAACTTTTGAAGTTTATATGAGATGGAATTCTGGAAAAATATCAAGTATTCCCCAGGATGCTGAGGAAGAGGCGTACGAGGTAAGCTTAGAGGCTTTAGAGGTTGTCGTAGGCCCGTAGAGGTTTTTAAGGGTGTCCATTGGCGGCACCGATTGTTTACATTGTAAAAAATGGATATCGATTCTCCCTTCTTCTGAAATCGCACCTTACGAGCTACAAATATCTTCCAGACACCAAAACTTAAATCAACATTATGATTAACAGGATATCTGCGCCCTAATGGAAGTGATCTGCAGCGTGGCTCGTTCTGGCGGCGCGGGCGACACGTGCGCGCGCGGGCTGCGCATCCTGCTGCCGCTGGTGACGCCGCCGCTGCTGGCGCTGCCCGGCCTGGCCGCCGCCGCCTACCGCATGCTCCGGGACTTGGATAGCGCGGACCAGGTTACTTAACTACATTATATTTGCTTACATCAGCCCGTATTCGTCCACTGCTGGACATAGGCCTCTCCAATGGCACGCCACTGAGCTCGTTCTTCAGCTCTTCTCATCCAACCACTACCAGCCACCTTGCGGATAACGTCACTCCACCTAGCTGGAGGGCGCCCTATATTTATATATATTTGCTTGGACACCTAGTTTACAAATTAACGTATTGATATGAAGTCTGTAATTTTTGCACTTAATAGATGGCGTTAGTATAGTTAAGCAATTAACGGAATGTGAATTGACTACATTTGAGGAGAACGGTCTATTAGATGAATAACCTTAGTTGTACTTGATTTAGGTGTCATAATTCTTATTTGATTTGCTCCAATGCAATTCTTTTATGCTTATATCCAATACATTCAGTTTTTCATACACCCTTTTACTGTCTCCGTATAAGATGTGCGTGCACTTAACTTAATTCATAGACAAGTGTTGTTTTTGTTATTAAAATCAAATTATTCTTTCTTTCCAGCTTACGAATCTACCCATTGACGACTTCAACATGGTAGTGACAGCGTTACGCGTAGGACTCACAGCTGTATCCTGCGACGTATCTACTTTATGTTGCGATACTATTGTAGGATTGTCTAACAAAGTGCGAACCCTAGGTGACGATAATCCATACGCAATGTCCCTCCTAACTCTTGCAGAGCTATTACTCATGCTCATTATCAAAGTAGAAATACCACCCGATTCAATACCCGCGGCAGGAGCAGCGATATATTCCCTCACCTGCGTTAAACCAGCGTTACTCGAAGGTCTAGCGCGACAGCTCATAGAAGCATACGCCGTCAATGATCCCACTAACGTACCACGACTAGAGGAAGCTTTCGGCGTCTTAACTAACGGAGTCCTCTTCGACGGCCTGAGGACTCACAAACTCAGATTCCAAGATAACTTCGACAAGTTCCTAGCAAGTGTACACGGTTTTCTTATCGTAAAATAAATTATTATTTACAGCCCCAGTATGTTGGCTGGAAATATTAAAAATATTAGCATAGCTTTGCTGGCGATTAACGCCTTTTACAATCCTGTCTCAAGGATTTGACGCAAATATTGCGGTTTCGACGATTCTACATTATCGTTACGTACTGAAAGAGAACCAAATTGGTGCAAATGTTGTCTTCAGTTCTGTTTTGCAAGCGCGGTTGGTGCGACTCGAATGTTTGATATATTAAATAGTTTATCATTTTAAAGTCCTTCCCTGGGCTGTGTCAAATGTAACACTATTGTGTCTAGATTATAGTTTGTATTAACTCATGACATTTTCTTAAGTGCCATTAGGAAAAATGCAATATTGATTTTGTAAAGTTGTTTTGGAAATATATATTGGCCTAAGATTGCACAGGGTGCTGTCATTACTTGACTGTACTGTCCATGCAATATAATTTCGTAACTTGAAATATTTTTATTTTATAGTTTTGACGCTTGTTCTGCAATCTTATGTTCACAACGAAGTTAGTATGGATTTTATAAATGTGGTTGTGAATGAAAATGCAGAAGATTTACTGTGGTATTATATATTTCGTAGGAGTAAAATGATGAGTACACTTTTAGTACTTATTGCTAGTTAGAGAAATTTGTGATTTCTATCGAGCTGAGCACTCGTAAACCGCAATGAGTTTTATTATTGTAAGAGGAAGGTCCTTAGCACTTTTATGTATTTACTGCAGGTTTTACTCCGTCTTTATATTAAATTAGTAAACAAATAAAACATTGTCATCTTGTTCTTATAAAATGTAGATAATATTGAACTTTGTCGTATAAACTTGAAAGCTTACAATTTTTAATACATTGTTGTGAAATTTTCAATTTTATTTAAGATTTTTTGGTAAGTGTAGGTACCTAATAAGTACATTATTTTTATTCTTTAGTCTGTTACATTTGAATAAGTACTTTGAAGTCATGTCCTATTTTTTTACTTGTTCAAGAATGGTTTAGTCATAATATTTAATTGAAGTAAACATTTTTCCTAGGTGATCAAAGCAGGCAGCGTTTTTTATAGTCCTGTCGGATAAACTATAATTAGATATAGTATTTGTTCCTTTTGAAATAATATTTTCTATTAATGTAACAAAGGATATATTTTCCTGACGTTGACGTAAGTTACATTTGAATCCACCTAGTAATTTATTTTTGTAAAATAGAATACTAGAAGCTTTTACATTTCGTAAAATAGTATTAAAACTGCTTATATGATGCTAATATGAATAATGATGTATTAAAATATATTATTTCCTTAAGTTTACTTTCTGTTTTACATGATCATACATGACTTGTATAATGAATGATATTTATTGTACAGAACAGAATTCCGAAGTATTCTAGTGATCTGTATATTTATAGTGGAAATCATATTTTCTTAATGTAGAAAAAAATACAGAAAATTTCGTTAGTATTAAATTGAAAGTGACCTAAAATCTTTATATATAATTTGTATTTGTTTGAATATTACTGATGTCGGTCGGAAAGCTTAGATTTTAAATACATACTTCTTTCATTTAACTTCCAATTCTTCGTAAGTTTACGATAAAGATTGATTTAGTGTTTAAAACAATTTTTGTACCCAATTCGTTTGTATACCTTTAGCTAGGAGGCATTTTGTAAATACTCAAAACATGTTTTAATACCTATAAAAGCGTACATACGTCTTCTTTTTGAAATTGTCAGTATCAATTTAATTACACTGTACAAATTTTATAAAATTATAGTCTGTTTGATTTGTAGATATAGAAACCTTACCTTGCAGATGGGCTGACGGAAAAAGTACACTGCATAATACATATTGGACATTCTTATGAAGCCTCTAAAAATATTCAGAAGTATCTCTTTGTCTACCTGAAGCTGAGGTTAACCTCAGACATTCGAATAAGGGGTCATGGCTTATTAGTTGGTTGGATACTTTACAGAAAACTGACGAATCTATTCGTCACGTGCAACAACACCACTGTGCCTAAAGACGCTTTTAAAAAGTGCTTCCTATCAGCCTATCAGTAATTAATGACAAACGTAGTTCAGGCGTGGTTATTTCTATGGGTTATTGCGATGAAGTGACCATCAATTTAAAGTCACACAGTTTAGTACACAGCATGATCCCAAATTATATAATAGTTATATAATAATAGTAAACTAAAATTCTCGATGTGGCCCAGTTGATTATTTGGCAGCCTGAATGTGACGTGTTCTGCATTCATGGCCTCCAAATTATATTATCTTGCAAATGTAGAGCTACTACATCTACATACTACATGGCTGAAGCTAGGGGGAGTGACAACATTCGTGAAGCGGTTAGAGGCGGCGCATCTAACCGCTTCGCGGATGTTGTGAAAACGGAGATGGAGCTTAATGGAGAGGGCTATGATCCCCTATACTTATTATACTCTTTGGGGCTATGTCAAGCAGAAGAGGAAAACGATCAAATCATTTTTGTTTTTCTTTGTTTTGTAGTTTGGCTTTTCTGCAACTTTATTAATTACCGAACGAATCGATTTAAGTCAATCGAATAAGTTAATTTCTATCGACGCAGAATTTACAAACATGAATATAGTAGTAATCAAGCCTATTAAAACGAATAAAAGGCCTCTAAAAATATTACTGGTACAGACATAAACTTGAACAGCAGCAGGTAAGATTTTTCCAAATAATATTTTAACAATAATAAATTATTGTGTCAAAAAAGTATAAAAATGGAAAAAACATCGGGTTCTCTCTTGTCAATTTTTGTTTGTCATTATTTGACAAATGTCATAACTGTCATCTGTAATTTTTTTTGAAGTTGACAGTCTTACGCTGAATCAGACTATCAGAGATATCTTTGTTGTTTTGTGGTTTATATACAATAATTTATTTATAAAGCATATTATAATGAGTATAATTAAGCCGGCTTTATCTCCAAACTCATCTTTAGCAACGTCTCAATATGATAGTCACGACGACACCGAACCAAATAAGATTAAAGTTTATCTTAAAGAAAGATTGAAGTCACGGATTTTTTTGGGACGTTATGTAGAAAGAAGACTTGCAGACAAGCGTATCGGATACCGTGACGTCGTTGTCATCAGCCCCGCTGAGGTGGAGTTAAAAAAGGATTTGTTAGAGGTACAGCACAAGTTAATTAAAATATGCCCCAGCACACATTGGATAGGTATTACAGACACAGAAGCTATGGGTTCTACAAATGGCGTTTGCTTGTGGACAGAAATAGATAACCAACCTTTTGGTCCATTTTGGTTCCAAATTAAGAGTTTAAAGTTCAGAGATGATGAAGTTATGGTGACATTAAAATGTTTGAGACATATATCTGATGCATTTTTAGAAGTAGAACCAATCTTAACTGGGGCTGTGAAGAAATGTAAAGCCATTGATTTGTCAGACAAAAAACTGGAAAACAGTGTTGCATCTCTAAATGAAACTTGTACTGATATTGTTGACACACTAAAAGGTGTTTTATCAATAAGCAATGTAAAGGAACTTGTAACATTTTTGTTTGCTTTCATTATTGCTATCTTCACTGGAAGTACTTCATTTGTAAATTTTCTTGGAAACTTTATTTTAGCTTTGATCAGAGAAATTTCTATCTTAGTAAAGAACTCCACACCTATGTTCCTTGGCTTGTTGGATTTCTTTAGCAAAATTGTTGGAGGCTTTTATATTCTGTTGGCAATGTTATTCAGACAAAGTGCTCCAGCTCCATCAAATAAAAGAACAGTAGGGGTTTATGATAGATCACGGAGAAGTTATGAACGATATGATGATGGTCAATTTGATTAATTCTTAAGTAATTGAATTGATATAACTTATTTGTTAGCAGATCTATATTTTTATTAATGTTTCATGCTTTCATAGTCTTTTATTATTTGACTTTTTGGTAGAGTTAAATATTTACTTTAGATCTCATTTATTTATATATAAAAATACATCTCATTGTGGTAAATATATGATTAGATACAAAATGCTAATTTATTCTATTACCTTGCAATGGTAATAATAATAAAATATTTAACTCTTGTTATAAGTTAATTTATTTAAGCCAAATATTACCAAGTCACCAAAAATGCTTTGATAACTTACCTACTAATCATTCCAAATGCATTTACAGATTGTAATAAGCTCAGGTTTATGCTTTGAATAAAAAACTAATTTTGTATTCAAATCTTTATTAAAATAAATATGTAAATTGTTACAAAAAAAAATGTGTATAAATTTATATACAGCATTTTAATATATATTATTTTTTTGTAATAATTTTGGGTTGGTGTTAATGTTTATAAAAATAATGTATTGTTATTGGTATTAAAGATTTTTTTTACCAATACACCATCTTTATTTTTTTTCAACTGGTACTACTATGATTGGTCTTCTGTCTGCAAAAAAATAAGAAATGATGTTATTTATTGGCCATATAAGAATATTAATTAAAAAAATATATATTATGGTTTGCACTTAGGTACCTTTAATCAACTTTTTTGATTTGTTATGATCAGCAGGGCCCCCAGTAGCTGAAACATGCAGTAGATATAGGTACTGTTTTATTTAGAGCTAAAAAATTGATATTATATTATAGAAAAAATACCTTTATGACCTCTATTCAAGAAAATTCTTGATTTATTTGGCTTCTTATGAGTTTTCTTCTCTGGTTGTTGTATTGTTTCATTTCTCGTTTTAACAGGCTGAAAGACAATATATTTTTAAATTTGTAAACTTAAGACCTGTAAAGTACACAGTCATAAAACCTAAATAATAAAATATTTTTACCTCCGTAGCTATATTTGCCATAATCAAAGCTTTCGGCCAGTCCGATCTATTATTTTCTTGTAACATATTTTTAGATACAATATTGTTTAGAATATTTGTGATTATTATGTTCATTTCACTATTGTCATACTGTTGCAACATTTCTTTAAAAAGTTGCAGCAAACCAGACAAGTTCCTCTTAAGTTCCATTTTGCCCTTTTCGTCGCTACTCAAATTATTTAGTAGGTCTAAGTGTGTGAAAACTTCGTCTATCGACATATACGCTCTAAATTGTAACAGAGCTTTAAAATTTCCACTCCCGTAACCTAAAAAACGTGACCTCATAGTAGAAATTCCACACTTTTAATCAAAGAATTTTGTAAGGTTTTACCTACTTATCCAAATTGTTTTATTTCCAAGAATATGTTAATCAATCAGTATACATGGGAACAATCTTTTTCCTTTTTGTAAGATCGCCAATGTTAACTTCTATATTGGAAGAAACGTCCCTTTGAGATGGGTTACTTTGGGTTTCGATAGAAAACTTCTTTATTATTTTACCTTCATCAAGATGCCTATAGTGATATATACCATTGACATGTTGTGTCATTGGTGGATGCATCACTTTTAATGCGGCGTTTAATAATTCAACTGTATCTATGTCTAATTTGGACCCTCTTTTCCTTAAAACTTTTTTAATGTCAATCGTCACTTTCGATGTGAATTTCAGGTATCTACGTCCCTCTTCCAACTGAGCTAGTTTGTATACGAATGATGCTGCCAGATTCTGTAATGTAAATATATTAAATAAATTTACACAAATAACCGAAAAAGATGATTATGATGGATAGAAAAGGGTACCTAACTGACCTGAGTCACGGTATCCCCGTAGTACGCTAGCCTGCAAGGCCAAGATATACACGTAGTTACTATGGAGTTATCTTCAAAAACATTACACATATCTGAGTGAGAACAACCTTGAGTAATTTCCACCTTTTCTGCATAACCTGAATCTGCCAGACCCTGTATAATAGAATAAGATTAATCACGACCTGATGTCTACTTTACAAATAATTGTAGGTAGGTATATGTAAGGTACTTCCTAAATAATGTCGTTCGATAAAATCATTATCATCATCATCATCATCATCATCATCAACAGACGAAAGACGTTCACTGCTGGAGTAAGGGGGAGGCCCCTTAGTCCTCCACGTTGAAAGACAACTCGCCACCTGCATCCACTGGTTCCCCGAAACTGGCGATGTCGTCGCTCCACTTAGCGGGAGGCCTGCCCACACTTCGTCTTCCAGTCCGTGGTGTCTACTCTACTGGACTTTCCTGGCCCATCAGACCATCGAGCGACGACGCAAACACCTAAATAAAGCACCTGCACCCTAAATAATGACCTAAAATTTGGGTTGGCCACAGAATAGACCCTTGGGGAACTCCTTTGAAAAACAGCGAACGAGGGGATGTGGTCGATATAGTTTTTAACTCTTTACGGCTCTAATTTGTACTGTATTTATAAACACGCATATTCCTTGAGCATTAATAATATTCCGATCGATTTGATTGATATAATATAAATCGAGTAAGATTCCAATGGTAATGACAAATCATAGAAGATTATCGTTTCACGTACTTTGGAAAAATAATTGAAAGTTTGAAATAGATACCTCATTTAAAAATATAAGCGCGTTCTTCGTATATTTGCTTCCCATATACAAAAATTTCTTCAGAATACGCATATTCTTTATAATTTCCCCTGTAGTGCTTGTGAAATATTTGGTATTCTCATTGAAATGTATTATAAAATCATTGTATTCCAGCTGATTTAAACAATTACATTTTCTTGTCAGCCTTTTGAATATTGAACAATCGTCATCCTCGTCCTAAATGAATCAGAGAAATATGTCAACAATATTTGTTTAGGTAACGCCAACATCGGTCTATTAATTACTTATGTAGATACTTCATAACGCTTAAAGAAGTTCTCCTGTGAATTTGTTTATGAGTATATGCTATATATTCCATAGGACTTAAGACAGGGTAACTACCCTGTCATAAGGAAGGTTTAAATATGGAATTAAGTCAGTTGACTTAATTACATATTTAAGTCAGTTGACTTAATTACATATTTAAACCTTCAGTGCAGATTGTTCAGAGAAATAAATATGTTATAATTAATTAGCGTACCTCTAAGTAAATCGTGTTTAATGCTTTTGTTTTGGCTTCCAACTTTTTCAGTGCTTCATCACTTTCGTCAGTATTTACAGGCTCCTTTGTCTGGAAAAAGCCATATACCTAAGTACATTTTATAATACCATGGGTACCTATAGTGGCAATAGTAAATAGTTATAGAGAAAGGTATTTATAGTATAAACCTTACCAATTAAACGTAGTAATTTAATGAAATTAAGACAAAAAAGAAAATATCAAAATAAAAATAAATAAAATATCTCGTACATCCTCCGCTGCTATTTGAGCAAGCCTGATTTCAGTTGTATCGGCTATAGGAAAACCTTTAAAGTTTGTTTTCGTTTGAATGTCTTCTAGCAAACATAATAATTTCTTTGTACTGTCTTTTAATTGTTTTATTGAGTCCTGAAATAATAAATTAAATTCGTTATTTCGATCGTGCAAGCGCTAGCAGTCTCACAGCAAGACAGGGAGGTATCTAACTACCTACAAAGTTCATTATAGATTAACCCAATAAAAGGTAATAGCTATAGGTGCCTAAGTGCTCTGAAATGTCGTGGAGAACCTAACGCCCCTCCCGCCTCACCCAGGCGGGAGCAGTCATTAGAAGATTTTCCCCCTAAAAAAAGTGCTCTGAAATGTTTAATATTAAATTTAATTTAGGTACCCTGTAGTTATCTATTTAGTATGTACCAAATGTAATCCAGTTACGACTCGGAACTAACTTGGCCAAAAATGTAAGTACTTAATAGTATACATACCAACTTTAAAGGACAGTAAGGTTCAAGGGAAACTTTTATTGGAGTAGCAATCTTGGCATCAACGGCTCGACTTTTTAAAATTGCAACGGGTTTCTTTAAAGTTGATGTCATGGGCTTCAAAGCTGACACTTTAACACAGGTTTCATCTATTTTATTCGTTTTAATATTTCCATCCAATGGATGACTGCTCGACAGTTCTGTTTTTCCTTTACCATTATTATTTTTTACAAGACTATCTGATCCACAAATGATATAACTGGAAGAATCCACCAAACCATTATTATACGTTTTACTACAACAGTCATCCATAGGTAAAAGTTGGAAATTAATATAAGAATAAATGCAAACACTGCATTGATATTCGATTATAAACAATACTAAAATCAGTAAGTATTCGCGGTTGTTAGGAATATAAAAACAATAAGATGTTATGGTGCGCCATTTTTGAAATTCGGTGCCATTTTTTTTGGTAAACATAATATGTAACTGTTTTTTTTTCTATCTCACTCGTGCAATCTTTTTTTTTATTGTTTTATTATATTAATATGTTGTATGAATTATCGCGAGATATGCACTTCAATATAATTTAAATTGAAAAGAAATAATTTCTTAAAATGAAATAGTTATACTGTTCGGAAAACCTAAATAATTCCAACGTCAGTGTCGATAATCATACTATCACTGTCACTGTCATATAGTAAAGTAATTCTTGTTTGGTTTCGTTTCGCGTCATGTCAAAGTTTTCGATTTCCTTGTAAACAATGCGAAGCGAATAAATTACTTCGCTTATTATGAATAATTACAAAAGTAAAGTAAGTTATGATAGTCCCTGTGACTCCGACAATGATTGGACCAACTCTTCAGACGACTCAAAGTATTCAGATTCAGAAAGGTAAATAAAGTTTACTAACATCACAAGCTTGAAAGTTTTCTCTAAGTTTCCACTATATTTTAAAATAAATTAACTATTTATCATAGCTCTGTACCTGAATGGGATTCGGACGTCGGCGAAGATGGAGAATTGGTTTACATTAAAATTAAGAATGATATCGAAACCACGGATTACACGAAGACACCTCTTTTGGAAAACTGTGAAACTTTTAAACTCAGAAACAACTTTAAAAGATCTTCAACTCGGCGTTCTACGAAAGGTACTGTAACAATAAATAGTTAATTTAGTTAGTTTGATAGTTTTAATGTAATTTAAATAGTTAAACTAGTAACTGGATAGTCAGTAATAAAATAAATGTAAATAAATGCTATTCGACATTACCCTGTATTTCTATCTTAATAACATACCATTGAACATGTTCATCCAATTGCTTATTTCTTATAGTATTTAACTAATTAATAATGTTAAATAATTGTAGGAAGAATATTTAAAGTATTAAAATCTCACAAGTCAAAGAATGCAGAGAGTAGCACAAGAAAAGGTGATGATGGAGCATCCAATGTGAACAGAAATGTGCTTCCTGATGAAAAGCTTATTATT